CTTGACCATATGCTGCTGTGCCTGTAAGTGTCTGCTGGAGCTCCAGCGAGGGAGCAGAGGGGAGGGGACAGATCAGCTGTCCGGAGCAGAAAGCCCAGCCCAGCCCAGCCCAGAGAGTATGCCCGATGCTGGGGGACTTTGGTTTAACTTAAACCAGGAAGGGTCTGGGACAGACATTGCATAAACCAGTTTGACCCAAATCAGTTAAGTCTGATACTACATTCAACCAGGTTTATCTCAAACTGGTTTCAGCCATTTTGAAACTGGTTTATATGTGCTGAATGTCTGTTCTGTTACAGGTTTAATCCAGTTTCTGATCACTTAAACCAATTTATGTACAATGTCTGTCCCTAGCCCAGATCAAGCTTCCTCCTTTCCAGAGCAGTATCTACCTTACAGAGCCAAATCCGCTCAAGCTTACTCTTTTCTTTCAGGCCACACGTCTTTCTCTTTTACTGCTCATAGCTGTCCATGGGGCCAGCTTCAAGAAGAGAGCACTCTAGCTAATCTTTAGCCCATGGCCTGGTTATCTCAGTATGCTGCTGGGAAGTGGGAGATGCAAGTTCACACCCCCTCTGGATAAAATGGGTCAAAAACCAGAATCTCCCACTGTCCAGGCAAGTGCCCAACCAGTAGGTTAAAAAGTGGGAAGGCTGTTCTTCTTTATGTCAAAGAGTCTCTAGCTGTGGTTCTTCCCTGGCATACATAGCTAATTCTATTCTTCCCAGAGCTTATGCAGCGAGGTAACCATAATGAAGCTTTCCAAGCATTGCTATACAGTTTCAAACAAAATCTAAACTCAGCTTAAGGATCAAGAATTGCAAGTACGCAGCTAGACAAGTGCCACTTAGGCTTGTAAAGGTGAAAGAGGATGTGGCCTATGTGACAAGCATGCATGTGTTAATGGTCACTGGCTGTTTACAGCAATTGCAATTGTTTTGCTTTGATTAAAATTGGACTAATTTTGTTTTCATCCACTTAATCATCTCTTTAAAAAAAGAAAAAACAAGTAATTAATTGATCCTATCATCATTGTTTTTAAAATACCCCAGTTAGGCTTTGAAGCTCACACCTCAAGTTGTTGACTGTAGTAGGAGTGTCCTTACCTTTCTATTCCAATTATTTGACTAGTGATGATTTTTGATACATCTAGATTAACGGGGTAGCAACATATTTGTTTACACTGTGGTGGAACTTTGCAATATGTCGATCAAGACATTCAAATGTGATTAGTGATTTCTAGTGTCTCAGCTGTCTGGTGCTCAAAGGGGCCCAATTCTCAGAGATTTGCTTAGTGCTTTATGAAAATCTGCCCTCGTTAAAGCGTCTCAAGTTTGGCATCCAAATATACTTGTCATAACTGAAAACCTTGACCTTAAGTTATGTAGTAAATGCTAAATGTGCACATAGAATGTAGAAGGTAACTGAAAGGTCCTAAAACAGCAGAACCCCAATTTTAACTTTTATTAGTTTTGCCCTGGCAGTTCTTTCTTGGCCCAGATATTTAAGCATGTATTTGTGGAGGATTTTTCTGTGTGCATTTCGAAGAGAAACATTTACAGTTCTTATCATTTATGTTGCCCTCACACTAGGCTACAAGACACAGTCACTGTCATTGTCTGAGCTGCCAGGTGGAGTGTACAGTGGTGATAAAAATAGGACAGGATGCCAGCAGGCTTTGCCAAACTCCTGTGCAGATAAAATGCTCAGAAGTTACGTTGCACGTGATTGTAGATTTTTTTTAAGTATGTTTCTGTAAACCAAGAAAAGGTTTTGCATTTCAAACAGCTGCTCTTGCTGCTGCTGTGTCCAAAACCCCATCTATCTAGAAGCTTCTTAGCAAGGAGCTTGGTTTGGGTTTTTTCCCCCCTCTAAATCCTCTCAGAGCTCAAAAAATAACATAAGCAACTGAGCTCAAGCTTTTTAAAAATAAATTAACAATTCACTCTGGACAGACCCCAGCTGGGAAAATTTCAGCTCAAAGGGTGAATGTTTCAGGAAACTATCAGTGTGTGAAGACAAAGATTTGGACTAGAACATGTTTTGCAATTTTAGCTATGGCAATTGCTGCCAGGTGTTTTTGGTAAGTCACTGGGACAAATTCTCAGCTGGTATTAACTAGTTTATATTCAGTAGCCATTCACACATCATTTATTAGACGGAGGAAGATGACACTTAGTGCACATAGTATGTCATCATTTGTATGATTCACTTTGGAGGTGCCACCCCTTTTCCCCCAACAAGTTGTTTTGACTATTTCTGACGGACAGATTCCCATTGGCTTCCATGAACTTTGCTTAGTCCCCATATTTAACATTGTTCAGATTCTCCTTGCCCTTTTGACTAAACATTCAAGTCCAAAGGAGCCTAAGGGATATAGGGACCCAGAATCTCATGGAAATGTAACTCCTGTGCAAATCCATGTGGAGTTGAAATATTTGGTGCACACATTTTACAAGCATTCCTATAAAACTTCAGAAATGTGTTTTCCTGCTGTTCCCCACTCGCTGGGATCTATCCTGGTTCTCCAGATCTACTGCTGATAAGAATTCAGTTCTGAAGAATCAAGCATTCCAGAAAGGCTTCTGATCACAAAAGCTGGAGGACTGAGGTATATCCATCATTGAATCCTTTCGTTTCCTAGCAGGCAAGTGTGTTGCCATTGCTGAGGAAGGTTTACAGTAACAAGTCCTTAACGACTGTCAAATTGTGGTCTTGAATGTACTGTAGTAAAATCTGTCCTCGTCTGTCAATGGTTTCAAGCAAGTGTCTAAGTCCCTCAAAGCCACCCTGGCTTTCCCAGAACTCTTGATCCATATACAGTGACTTAAGAAGCATATTCTGTAAACATCCTGACTGGAGCATGGTCACAGCTGTCTGCGGAAAGCTGATAAAGAAAATTAAGACAGGGAAAGAAAAGTGTTTACAAAGGCAAAATCCTATGGCTCAAGTTTCAGAGGGCGCATCTACACGTTCATTAATGCACAGTGGTTACTGTGCATTTATTTAGTATTTGTATAATCAAGTACTAAATCGGAGTTACTGCACAGTAGTGCCGGCAAACACCTTTTTAGAGATGCTGCTGTGCAGTAGCCTAATAATACAGTGCAGTAGTGTATTAGCATTGTCAGTGCTGTGATACACTACTGTGCAGTATTATTAGGCTACTTTGCAGTTAGTGGGTTGTGTAGATATGCCCAGAGCATAGCAGAATGGCATTTGATCCCTATCTACCTCTGTCTCTGGAAGTCTTCTATCTCATACTTTTCATATGTCATACAAAGCAGAAATTGTTTCAATACTAAGTATTTTGCAATGCATGAATACAGGAAGCAATAATAATTTAGCAAGTATGTGTTGACAGGGAAACTGTCTGGAGCTGGGTGTTAACCACTGTGATGCTGAGAAATGGTCAGAGCCTCAGTTTAGTGTCCATCTCTAGTTACGGTACAAGAGAACATTATATGGGATATCTCAGTGTGAGAAATTTGCCCGGATATCAGAGGCCTAATCCTAAGATGAACCAATAAGAACACGCTTGGCCCATAACCTGGAAATGAAGCAATGAAACAGCTCAGAGGGCATCCCGCACCACTCTCAAACATATTTGGAGCAGAGGCCTTGAGAGTGGTAGCAGGGTGGAAGCACACTTAGGTGGCCTCACCACCTCACTTACTGGATTAGCACAAGTGGAGCAGGAGCAGAGGGTAGGCTTTGCTTCTTGGCTTGTTCCAGAGCACATGTTGAACCCTACTTATAATATATGAGATTCTCAAGACTACACTTATAATATATGAGGTTCTTAAGACTGCACTTATAATATATGAGGTTCTCAAGACTGCACAATGAGAAATGGCTCCAAAAGAGGCTCCAAAAGAGGCTCCAAATGAAATGGCTCCAAATGAAAAGGGCTGGTAACATGTGAAAGCCTGAGATGCAACAATAGTCCAAAAGCCGAAGTACCTGTTTGTTGGATATCTTGTGCAGCTGCCAATTAGAAGAAAAATAATATCTACAGCTGCTGAGCTAGCCATCAGCCACCCCCAGAGTGAGATATAAATATTCACTTCCGTATGAAATATACAGCTTGACTCTGATCTTGTTCTAGCCTTAGGCTGCTGACATGCCACTGATTTCACTGGAACCACTCTTGAATTACAAAGGCACATGTAAGACTAGAATTGGATTCTGTATTTGCACTTCAAATATACCTGCAGGTAGGACCTTATTCAAAGCTTGCTGGGAGGCATTCTTTTTCTGGAATAGGAGCTGGCTCATTCCCTTATGAAAGCCTGAGTGAAAATGCGATACATGAAAGTAATATATAGAAACATAGCCATTCTGTGTGTGAGGACTGTACTGCATGGTACAGATAGACTGGTCAGAAAAGGTTTAAGTATCAGCAAGGTAGGAACAGATATAACACACTCAGCCTTTGTACCTGGAATGAGAAGAAAGCAGAGCACAGGCCTGGGGAAGCCACATCTCATTTTTTATATTCTTACCAGAAGCTTGGTTTTACTGAAGAATCCTGACTGTGCTGGCCAGGGTGAGCGAGGCGATGCTGACTGTCTCTTTAATATTCCTGAAAGGAAGGAAGCTTTCTAATGGTGTGAGGGCTATGTTGTATGACCCTATGAACCTCCTGTGTTTGAAGCCAGAACTGAGCCTGGTGCCCTTCTTACCTGTCTATGCCTTCCAACAGCCTGAAGTTGAGCTTGGCTTCAGGATGGAGGAGTCTGCCTGCATTGTCGATGAACACTAGCTGGGAAGGCTCACTCCTCCGGATCTGGTGGGGGGGGGAAAAAGCCAAAAGGAGAAGTTCAGTGTGTGTACACGCTTTCTCTTGAGATGGTGGGAGGGAAGGGTAGCTTTTATGGATGGAGACTTGTTATTTGAACATTTATAGAACTAGGATAACTTGAGGTCAGAAATGAAAGTCCAAGAGTTTCAGGGTCTACAGGGCTGTTCTGCTAGCTCATGGCAGAACTGTGACAAGTGGTGCTTGTCTCATTTGCCTTTCTTTATAAATTGCAGAAGGGGAGAGCAGGATTTGCAAAGCTAGTACTCCCCCTCTTACTCAGGTGGGTAGGCAGAGACAGAAAGTGGGAGGTGCCTTCATTCTTTGTGTGTCCCCTTCCTGTCTTTGCCAACCAACACCCTGAGCTGGCACAGAGGAAGAGGTGTAACCTGTACCAGGTAAAGGGCTGACATAAGCTACTATCATCCCTACAGCAAGGGAAAGATATAAGGGACCCAACTGTGACTCAGGCTGTTTTCTTGTCTGTTTTTCAGCTAGTGCAGCTCTGAAAGGCCATGTATGTAGTGCTGGTGGTAAAAGCACAGTACAGTGTTTTAGCTGCACTGAACAAAATATAGAGGTCCTCTATGGCCAGGTTGCTCAAGTGAAACCCCTCTATTCCCCGAGTTCCTTGTATTAAAATGATCTGCTGTAGGTCTCCAAATTGAAAGTCAAATGTGGCTACCTAACAGCACTGAGCAACCTCAAATGTCACCTTTCATTTTGAGCTTCCCTATTTTATTGCATTTGTTATCATCCAGGGATATATTTTATTAACAGCATGCTGTTGAATCGCGGAGTAGGAAGGAATGTAGAATTAATTTAATTTGTTTGATATCACATTTATTCTGGCAGAATGTAATGTGACTAGCATTGAAGGAACACTGGCATTGTACGGCTACTAGGCTGTACTGATTTTTTACTCTAGAGGTGTTGTGTAGGCACAGGATGTAACTGTGTTCCTTATAGACTAACTCGTTCAGAGAGGCACAAGCTTTTTTACGGTACAGCCCACTTCATCATATGCTACTTCATCATGTCATAGCCTCCAGCAAAGTAGGCTGTAGCTTACAAAAGCCTTGCTGAATGAGTTAGTCTATAAGGTGCTGCACTAACCTACCTTCTGCCTAATTTCAGACTAACATAGCTAACTATCTGTGTTTTCTGTCAGCTGTAGCTTTAGATGTAGAAAGGTTTCTCTGTCTCATGATGTCACACTAGGTTTCTTTGGATGTGATGTATCACAGAGAATCACATAAAGCACAGAAAAAAGTGACATAGTTCAAGCGATCTGAATATGCTCTACAGTCATGTCATAACACACATGCACAGCTGCAGAGTGTTTGTAAATGGCCCATTGCAGGAAAAATTAACCCTCGTTAAATCAGATATTACATTAAGGTGCTCAAAGAAGAGAGCCTTAGGGAACTTGTGTTCCCTCCAGGGTTAATTTTTCACCCAGTTGGCCAGCAGGGCTAGGCTAGACTGGTCTGGTCTGGGCTGCACTGGCTATCAGCCCAGCCCCACCCTCTGGGCTGTCAGGGGGAAGGAGACAGAGTGTGTGTGTTTGTGTGGGTGGAGGGGGACGGTGGACAATGGACCCCCCTCACCTCATGGGCCACCCCAGCTACCCTGGCTGGGGTACTGGGGGAGCTGTATCTGGCCTGTGAGGTGAGGGGGGCTCCATTCCTCCACTCCCCACCACACCCCAAACTCTGGCCATTCAGCAACTGGGAGCAGCTGGCACAGAGCTCCCGGCTGGTTTGAATGGCCAGACCTGAGAGGGACAGGGTAGAAAAATGGAGCCCCCTCACCTCATGGGCCCCCACCAACTACCCCCAATACTCCAGCCAGGGTAGCTGGTGGAGGGTCTGTGAGGTGAGGTGAGGGGGCTCCATTCCCCCCTCACAACTTCCCCTTAGCGCTGACCATTCAACAGCCAGCAGCTCCATGCTGGCTGTTCCTGGCTGCTGAATGGCCAGAACTGGGGGGGGGTATGGGGGACGGCAGGGAATGGGGAGAGCAGAGGTTAGGCAGTAGGGCTGTGCAAAGCTTCAGGTAATGATTTGATTCGGAGGAGATTTGGCCCAATTTGGTAGCCGAATCTCCAAATCTGAATCGAATCAGGGACCAGTTTAAAGGTCCAAATCGTTTCAAAGCTCTCCTAATCTTCGGAAAAGATTCAGAGAGCTTTGATGATTTGGGCAGTCCTTGGTGGCTGCAGCAGGGAGCTACAGCTGGACTTGGAGCTGGTAAGTACTAAGGGTGGGGGATGGGGGGTAGGGGACCATGGGGTGACCCCTGCCAGCCCCCCCGACCCCCGCTCCCCCAGTGCGCCCATGGGTGCCCCATCTGCCCCAGCTTCTGGTGCTTTAAAGAAAAGCCGCAGTGCTCACCAGGTGCTACTGGATGGGGGAATCGATCCCTGCTGCCCCTCACTGCCCCCCACTGTGTGGGGAGATCTGCCATGAGGCCCCTGACCCCCCCTCGCTCCCCCAGGTCCCCCACAGGTGCCCTGCCCAGGCCAGCTCTGGCCCTTTAAGAAAAGAAAAAACAGACAAAAGCCCCAGGACTCACTGCTTCTGCAGTGGCCTTGCAGCTTCAGGGGGCTCATGCAGAACCCTGCCCATGTAGCGCGGGGCAGCAGGGGGCAGCGAGGATCGCCTCCCACATGAGCAGGAGCAGTGAGTGAAGGGCTTTTCTTGGGTTTTTTTTGTTCCTTAAAGGACTGGAGTTGGCCCAGGCCGGGCACCTGTTGGGGGGGCTGGGTGAGCGAGGGGATTCAGGGGGTTGTGCGGAGCCCCCCCATGCAGCATGGGGCAGTGGGGAGCAGCAGGGATCTCCCCCCTCCCCGCATGGCAGCACCCGGTGAGCTGGGGCTTTTTTTTTCCGAAGAGCCAGGAGCTGGGGCAGGCAGGGCAACCATTGCCAGGCTGTGGGGGATAGGCCTGGCTGATTCAGAGATTCAGCCAAATCGAGTCAGGGCAGTGATTTGAATCACTGAATTGAATCACTGTCTCCCAAATCAGCTGAATCCGAAGCGAATACTAGCCGCTTCGCACAGGTCCATTAGGCAGCCTCTTTGGAGGCTGCTGGAGCACCTCTGCCTGCTGGCCAGAACCATTGCAAGCTGGCTCTAACTCATGCCTGTTGGGTTGGGGAGGCGGCTGTAACTCATGGCACTTTATGCAAAGCACCATGGGTTATATTGGGTCCCTAATATCTGCACCCATAGTGTTCCTTCAGTCTTTTGCAGGACTAGGTTCTTATACTGTAGAGGGGGATTGACACCTAACACGGAGTAAATTGACTCGGTCCTGGGGCCTGCGCTGTTCAATTTCTTCATCAGCGATCTAGATGATGGGGTGGAAAGTAACCTGTGTAAATTCGCTGATGACACCAAAATTTGGGGGGAGGTGAGCACGCTAGCAGGGAGTGAGAGATTGCAGAAGGATCTGGATAGGTTACAGGGGTGGGCTAACAGGAACAGGATGCGTTTCAATACGGACAAGTGCAGGGTGCTGCACTTGGGCAGTAGGAACCAGCAGCACACTTACACAATGGGGAACTCCCTACTTGAGAGCACGGAGGCAGAAAGAGATCTTGGAGTCATTATTGACTCCAAGATGAACATGGGCCGACAATGCGAGGTCATGGTTGGCAGGGCTAACCGGACCTTGTCGTGCATCCACAGGTGCATCTCGAGTAGAGCCAAGGAGGTGATCCTCCCCCTCTACGCGACGCTGGTCAGGCCACAGCTGGAGTATTGTGTCCAGTTCTGTGCGCCCCATTTCAAGAGGGATGTGGACAACATGGAGAGGGTCCAGAGGAGGGCCACCCGCATGATCCGGGGACAACAGGGCAGACCCTACAGTGAGAGACTGCGGGACCTGAACCTATTCAGCCTCCACAAGAGAAGGCTGAGGGGGGACCTGGTGACCGTCTATAAACTCACTAGGGGGGACCAGAAGGGTTTGGGGGAGACGCTGTTTCCCCTAGCGCCCGCTGGCATAACAAGGAGTAATGGGCACAAGTTGATGGAGAGGAGGTATAGATTGGACATCCGCAAAAACTACTTCACAGTTAGGGCGGCTAGGAGCTGGAACCAACTTCCAAGGGAAGTGGTGCTGGCCCCTACCCTGGGGGTCTTTAAGAAGAGGCTGGATGCCTACCTGGCTGGACTCATTTGAGTCCCGTTTTTGTGTTGGGGTTTTGTTGTTCTCCCGCCCTGGCGGGGGGTTGGGCTAGAAGATTTACTAGGTCCCTTCCGACCCTAAATCTATGAAACTATGAAACTATGACTTGACCTCATAGTAAATGTGGAGCACAATGCAATTTTATACTGGTGTAAGTCATTCTACTCCAGGTAAAGTTAATCATCAGAAAGTGAGGAGTAACTATATAGTGGTGTAAGTTACACTGGTGTAAGAAGGGCAAGAGGTAAGAAGGGCAAGCAGGACACACTGGTATCAGCTGCCCTTATCAATTTCATCCTAGGGTAGCCATTTGATCAATGCAAAGACGCTTCCCTGTACCTAGTGGCCATGCACTGTCTTAGTGCATAGAGCAGGTCATGCAGATTTGCTGTAGAGTAAAACCTGGAATAGATTCCTCTGCAGTAGTTGTGCTGGGTATCTGCATTCTAAGAGTAGTGACAATACATGTCCTTACACTAAGCACATCTATACTTGAAATTAGCACGGTGTAATAAACTCTAGCACCGTTCATGCAGCAGTTTGTTTCTCCCAGGCACAGTATTTGGACGTGTACCTTGGACCACAGCATATTGAGCCAGGGCAGCCTCAGCTGGTTGGGAGCCCAAGGGGTCAGCTTGCCAGTCCAGAGCTGCTCCCCACTGGCTCAACGTGCTGCAGAGGGGCTGGATGAGGCATGAGGATGCTACTGTGTGGGGCTAACCAGCAGGCCCCCCCACA